CCTTAAACCTTAAACCCTAAACCTTATCCTTAAACCCTAAACCCTAAACCCTAACCCTAAAACCCTAACAATAAGCCCTAATCCTAAACCCTAAAACCTAAACCCGAAACCCTAACTCCTAATTCCTAAACCCTAAAACCCTAACTGTAAACCCTAACCCTAACTTTAAACCTAAACCCTAACTTTACCCAAACCCTAATTTCCTAACACTACCCATAAACACTTAGCCAAAACCTAAAACCCTAACCATGTACCCCAAACCTAAATCCTAACACTAAACCTAAACCTAAACCTTAACCCGTAACCTAAACCAAACGCTAAACAACCCTAACTAAACCTTAGCCTTAGACCATTAACTTAAAGTAAATCCTAAACCCTTCACTAACCATAATTGCAAATTTTTTTCGAAGGAGGGGTGTATGATGTGTGATCATAATCCAATATAAGTTTATTTAACGATTCTTGGAATAATTAAATGTTTGTGAAGAATTTTGCAATTATTTTGTAAATTTTGAAGATCCATTGAGTTTGTTGAGAACCTACATTATCCTTTAGTTCGTTATTATTAAAAATTAGGTTTTTTGCTTATGAGTTTTTTATCTTTCACTTGAAAGGTATTTTTCTAGATTTAGGCTTTAGGGGTTTCAATTAGGATCTTTGTTTATTTGTTTAAATAAATTATGTTAGGATAGAATTAGTAGTTGGTTATAAATATAATTGTTAATTTGTAAGCCAAAATGAATTAGATTTATGATTAAGAAAGATTATCTAATTAGGAGATAAATTAGGATTTGAATTTCTAGTTAATCTTATTTTAGGATTATGATTCTTAGTTATATATCTTTGTACGAATTTTCCTCGTATGTAAAAATTTGGGTGCATACCAATAAAGTTTTTCAGCGTGTGTTTTGTAAAATTATGGATGCATCCCTACTTTTTAGGGGTCGTTTGGTTTGGTAAATTGAAATGGATTGGTATGGGATCTCATACTAGGGAGGTATGGATTCTAAACCCCATACTTGTCTAAACTTGTTTGGTTTATTCTTTGGAATAGATTGTGAATCTTAGGGGGTAAGGTGGGTATGAGATTTCAGGGGAATGAGGTGGAATTAGAAACCCTTCGTATGAGATTCCATACCTAAATTTGTCTAATCAAACAATAAAATGGATGGAATGGACTCTAACTCCATTCCAAAAACTCCAACCAAACGACCCCTTAAAAGTTATGAGAAAATACTTATGAATAGTGTGAGGGCAATTATATCCTTAAAATGTTTGTTTACCTATATGTTCCTATTGATATGATGTTAATTGCATCTAAGCTTCTCCTTATGTAATTTAATGATTTAACTCTTATGAATAGAGTTTGAACAATTATATCCTCTAATAAATGTTTGTGCGTGAATATTTAAATAATAGTGCAAATATTTATACCCCTATAAATATTAATTTACATATTTTCCCTAATTAATATTGCAAACAATTAAAATGGCTTTCTAAAGATGACTAATTGTGGTGCGAGCGCGTTAGCCACCAAGTACCAATAAAGTTTTTAAAGTGTGTGTTTTGTTGAAAGTGGCGTTGCCTTTTAGTTTGTTTGACCACCCACACTTGGCTGATGTTTAGTGTTCCCCTACTAGTTTTACTAAAATGAATGGGTACCACTGCCAAATCGCGTACAACTAAGTCTACTAGTACTAGTGCCAACAAGACACTTTTGAGCTGTTATTATATGCCAGTTGGACATCCTATCCAATTGTACTACTCACTAGCTTTGTCATTAGTCTTAATTACTAATTTTATTTTATTCTCCATAATTAGTTTGCTTTCTAATACTCCAAGCTTCATAGTTTAATTTTTTATCTTGTACTTTTATTTATGTTTTGATCGAAACATTTAGAATCAAGTATATGTACTATTATCTACTCGAATTTTATTTTGTATGAAGATACATATACTTATATAGTTATATGTACTCTATATTATATCTTATTTATTTAGTGTATATTTTATTTTATAATTACTGAAAAAGAACGCCAACTTGGGATGATTTGATAGTGCATCACCATAAACACCGCAAATGATCTTTATATTATATTGTATAATTACCGTTTATATCAAATAAAACATGAATCCATGAGGTACTCGACCTTTCAATAAGCAAAAAATAAGTTATTTTTTAAATGCATGAAAATTATCAACCAATATTGTAATCGATCTTCGTTGTCACACGTAATTTTATAATTAGCACCGCGCATATAATTGTCCCCTTTTCATGGGAAGTAAGTAAAGGAGAATGCAAGACGAAGCCATTTACGAGAAGATTATAGACTAAAGAGTGAGAAAAGATACGTCCATAATTTTCCATCAAATGTAGTGACGCTATTTGGCGTAAAATTCATAAGTATACGTATTAACTTTCAATTGCTTGCATCACTCGATAGACTAGAATACTAAAATAGTGATTAATTAGATTGCATTGTCACCTTTAATTTGTTCTTTTTAGTGGAATTTGGAAGCTCAAGATTTATAAAATAATTTCACTTTTTTGCCTTTTTAATTTCGCCGCTCCTACGAGTCATCTTGGTAATTATTTAAATTAATGGTGTGTTAGACTAATAGAGCACTAAACATCATTATCATCATTAAAGTCTGATTTATATGACGTTTGACCGACAATATTGTAACGGCATAAGCTCCCTACACTGTTTTACTGCCTCTGTAAAGTGTAAAGGGCAAAAAAATGTCAATGAAATTAACAAAAAAGAATTTCATTTTTGTAAAATTTATTAATTTATTGGGGAAAAATGTGGTGTGAATAGATTTGGACAAGTCATGATAGCTTAACACTAGTCAAATTATTGGTGCATGGTAATTATACCATGTTTAACTTAGGGTAACTTTAATTCCAAGACTAAAACTCATACTCCATACTCCACCACATCAGATTTCCACTAATTTTTAATTACTTTTTTATCATTCAGATTCATACAAGACTTTCCACTTTCAAACATTATTCCAAAACTCACTCCAGATTTACTTATCCAATTAATATTAATAACATTAATTTATTTATATATTTATAAATTATTTTTTAAATGGTGAGTTGGCAGCTCACTATTGGACAACATAATTATTTTTGTCCTTTTGTATAATCTCAAGATGAGTTTTGGAATCCAAAACTCATCTCAAGACTATATATAGTCTTGGTAGAGATTATTGCTAGAGTCTTGCTCAAGATTTGTCTAAAGACTCATCTCAAGACTAGGGATAAACTTATCCTTAGCAAGTACAGGTGTTTACTCATCAACAAAAACGACATACGAGTAGTATAAAAAGGCAACTTTGATCCCCAAAATAGCAATTACGGAGTATGATTTAAAGCCTTTTTGAAAATTCTTGAGAAATTTATAGTTGGATGTTTACATTCTTACAATGTTTCGCTTTTTGGATATGTGTACAATTACCATTGTCTTTTTTTTTTTTTTTTTTTTTTTTTTTTGACAATTACAATTACCATTGTCATAGAGAAATGAATGTTCTAAAAACAACTTGAATAAGAAGGATTGCACTTAGATGTTGAATTTTAAATTATGCATAAAACCTATGAATGATTAATTTTCTCCTTTAATAGGTTATAAATTATGCATAAAACCTATGAATAAGAAATGATTTTTGTGGATAATTACACGGAATAATCAGATTTGGTTCATGTAGCCGACCCTACTTATGGGATTAAGGCTTTGATTGATTGATTGAATTGGTTGGGAGTCATTTTTATATTGGGAGGATCACCCTTTCAATTTGAAGTTTTTTCAAAATGTTATACTCCCTCTGTCCCTATTTTTTTGCTCCATTGCCAAAATTTGAGTCAAACTTTGAAAACTTTGACCATAAATTCTCGTTATTCTACAATAGGTAATATAGTCATGTGGAATCTTGTTTGGTTCGTCTCATTGTATATTTAATTAATACCAACTTTTTATAATTTTCTCCCATGTAAAAATGGAGATATAAACGATTTAACACGTGTCTTGGAGACCGTGAAAAGCCAAATGAGGCAAAAATAAAGGGACAGAGGGAGTACTAACAAGTAACAACTAGAGTATTTTGCCCATTTGGGTAGCTTAACTAAGCTTTATTAGTTTCTAATTAAGAAAAAAACAACTACAGTACTTTTCTTCTTCTTCTTCTTTTATTTTTTATTTTTTTTTATTTCTTTTTTTTAAATTTTTTTTTACAGGTTCTATTTGTTCTTTATCATCCCATTGTGGAGTATAAAAGGTCAAAAAATTTAAAAGCAATCCAAATTTATTAACCACAACCTACCTTAATTTACATTTAAGCCATTTTAAACTTAGAAAGAACTTATAGACTGTTTCAGGCCCTAAATCACTCAACTCACCCTGAATTACTAGTTTCATGTAAAATTACAACTAGTGTGTGGCTCGAAAGATGCACCAGATTTTACTTTGAATATCAATACATATTATTTGAGCTATAAAATCATAAACTACATAATTACAAAAATTAAGTGAACAATAATAACTAACAAAACTAAATAAACACTCTCAAATTGATGTACAAATTAAAGTATTTAGTGTATTATAATTGAATATGAAGCATGATTTAAATATAGCAAAGTTGGTAAGAACATTAATTCATTTGCTATTGGCATTTTTATTATGTTCAAACCTTGTAATTAGCATTTTTATTGACATTGAATGTGAAGGGTGTCACGTGGTACATATCTTGTATTAGGAACGCTTTTGAATAGATAAGTATAGATTTTAACTTTCCAAATCTAACACACTCTTTCTTTTACTAGGGTAAAAAAACCGGAAACACACATGAACACAACCAAAGATTCAAAATCAGAGCCAAATTAGAGCTTAGACACTTGAATTTCCAAACCTCCTACAATCAATAAACACAATGACTTAAATAATCAATTAGGACGATAATCAGTCACATTCCAAAAGATGCAAAAGCAAAAACCAAAAGAGAAATCCCAAAGAATACCTTCCAATCCAATCTCAATACTTCGCTTTTACTGTTTGTGACCCCAAATTTTTGTCTCATCACCTACCACTGATAACTCCACACCCACCACTCTCTCTCCTCTTTCTCTCTCCTTCACACAACCATTTTTCACAGATATACTCTCACTTCCCTTAAATTTATATCATAATTTTAATTTTTTCCCCAAATTAATTTTTATTTTCCCATGTTCCTGTTCTTCCCACCTGAAAAATACCACCTTTCTTGTTGCCATTTCTGGGATTTTAGGGTTTTTACTGTTGATTATTTTTCCCAACTAGTGTGGTGGGAGAAAGCTCCATTTCAGCTTAGATTTAATCAATTTTTGCCTTTTCCTGTCATACCCAGAAATTATTTACAATAATATATAATAAATTTAACCTTCCCTTTTGTTTTAAGTTAGAGTTTTCTGAAAGTTCATTCAGTTTTGTATGAAGGTACTGTAGTTTTAATGGTTGTCCCACTTAATGGGCTTTGCAGAATTTCTTGTTGGAGATCCAAGTTGGGTTTTTTTTTGGTGTGATTAATTGGGTTTTGTGATCTTAATTTCACATTTCAATCTCAGGTAATTAAGCAATTGAGTTCTTTATTCAAGTTTATTTAGCTTTGCTAATTTTTAATCTTTATGGTATGTTATTATAGTTCATGTGGGAGGCTGGAAGTTTAATGGGTTTGTTTTACCTGCATTTGGATTACTAATTTTGCTAATTGATGGGGTTGTAATTTTTAGTTGTAGTATAGTTTTATTTATTAATTAGCAATTTAGATGTCCAAGCAGTATATGGTTGTTCACTTCATTCTTGGTTTACTGTGCTTCTGGATGTAAGACTGAAAATTGAATGTGAGTGTATATATGTGTTCACCTTCAAGGTTTTTGATATCCGAATGAGGAACTCGTAAGGGCTATATATATAAGCATTAAATACATTTCTGAAGATAGCACTCGTATTAGTTTCAAAATAACTTGTATGTTGTTGCTGCTGAGTGATATACTATTGGTTGTTGCTGATGAAATTACTGATTGGCATTTGTTTGGAGCATGGATTCTAAAATATTTGGATTTGCTTTCCTGAACTCCTGAATTGTTATTAGGTATTTTGGCTTCTGGAAAATGGGTGATCTTAATGCTCAGTTATCTAAAAAGGTTTTTTTCGGCTTAAAGGTCTGGGAAGTAATTGGGATTGTTGTTGGACTGTTCATCATTATTATAATTGCCCTCATACCTCTATGCCTGCGCAAGAAAGCTAGGAGAGCTAAAGGAAATATACCCGTTACTCAAATCCCTTCGGTATCCAAAGAAATTAAAGAAATTCGGGTTGAGCACATAGCAACGAATGCTTATGTTCCTAATGAAGGGAACTTTATGACACTCAAGGACAAATTCAGTGACAGGGAATCTGATAAGGTGGCCGTCCATGGAGATTCGGGGAAAATGAGAAACGGAGATGTTAGCAGCCAGTCGGGATCATTTCATCGTTTGGAAACAGGTGGTTCCATATCAGGGGATGAAGGGGGCTCTGGGTCATATCTTATGTACAAACCATCTTCCTCTCATCCAATCACAGCTCCTTCTCCACTTTGTGGTCTGCCTGAATTTTCGCATCTGGGTTGGGGTCACTGGTTTACGTTAAGGGATCTTGAGGTTGCAACAAACAGATTTGCAAAGGAAAATGTCATTGGTGAAGGTGGATATGGAATAGTATACAAAGGAAGCTTGGTCAACGGTACCCCTGTAGCTATAAAGAGAATTCTTAATAACCTGTGAGTCAGGAAGTGATCTTATTATCTCTCAAGTTCATTAGACCATGCTATTTTACATGTGTATATATGAAGAGTTTTCTAATTCAAGTTATGCTTATTTTCATGTGTATGATGAGTTTTCTAGTTCAAGTTACTGAATTTTTTATTTTATTTTATAGAGGCCAAGCTGAGAAGGAATTTAGAGTTGAAGTGGAAGCCATTGGTCACGTTCGTCATAAGAATCTAGTCAGACTGTTGGGTTATTGTGTTGAAGGAACTCACAGGTACTTCCCTGGTTTTTTTAATAATTGTGTAACATGGATTTGATCTAAGCCATATCATAGCTGTATGGTATATTTAAAAAACCACAAATATCTGACATCATCCTCTTATGAGTTTCAGGATGTTAGTGTATGAGTATGTTAATAATGGCAACTTAGAGCAATGGCTTCATGGTGCCATGCGTCAACATGGATATCTGACTTGGGAGGCCCGGATGAAAGTGCTGCTTGGCACAGCCAAAGCGTAAGTTGATCAAAGTTTGAAATTTTGAATTGGCTTGATGATTAAAAAAATATGAATTGCTTATCTGCTCCTAATTTTCCCTGGTTGGAAATTAAGTCATTTATAAGGAAAGAACTCCTGGTCTCACTAGACCTAATTTAATTTACTACTTTGCTGCACAAATTGTAGCATATTCGTATATGTAGGGTAATGCCTGCCAATGGTAAGAATATTTGTTGGCAGAGCTGCTATGGATATGTGTGGCAAATCAATAGATAAGAATTACGAAAGGTGCGAAACCACCACCTAATAGTGGATTAGTGGGTGTACTTACTCCCCCTTGTTTTCCCCCCTCCCTCATCCTATGGTCTTCCCCCCTTTTCCATCTTCTTCTCAGCTGCCAGGTTTGATGGTGGCCTGCAAACGTCCTCCGTCTTCCACTTTAGGCCAGTCTCAATAATGACTACCATTCCACTATTGACCTCCTCTTCCCTCTAATGTTTTCTAATTCCCTTTCCTTCCTAAAGGGCCCTAACCATCATTTGTGATTTTGCTACTCCTTTTTGCAATTGTAAGTCTACCTCTACTAAAGTTACCTACTTTATGCCACTCCCCCTAATGTCTTCTAATTTCTTTCCCTAAGGGGATCTAACCATCATTTGTGATTTTGCTAAACCTTATTGCAATTGTGAGTCTACCTTTTCTAGCAGTTATCTACTTCTAATCTTCTATGCTAGTATGCAATATTGTGGTTTGGTGTGTTTAATTCTTTCACATCTTATGGTGACTCAATAACTTTCCAGTTTATGTGTTCAATTCTTTCATATCTTATGGTGAATCAATAACTTTTCAGTTTATGAGTTAAATTTTCCCTTTTGATTTTCTTGATCAATGTTTTTTAGTGAGTACTTCAAGCATCTTTAAGTGGTATGAAGTTGATTTTGAATCAGGATTTCAGTGAAGCTACTATCAATGGTGAAGCTACGTGTTTGGCATCTATAATCCTCCTCCCCCCCAATATGAATATATCATCGTAGAAGAAGTATAATATAAAGTAGATTAGACAATGGAGACTGGAGGGGAGAGCAGATCCCTGGTAGATGTTTGGAAGAGGAAGGAGGGTGGGGAATAATTTGGATGAGTGGGATAAGAATAGAGTAGAGGTATCATTGGGTTGTTGCTAGTTTGCTACAATCTGAATTTAAACTCATATTAGCTGGTGATTGATTGGATAGTACTATTGTTTTATATCATGTGGGCCTCTGTAATGCTTTGAACTGCGGATTTACCGTTTGAAATGTTTTTCTTTTTTGCAGTCTTGCCTATTTGCACGAGGCAATTGAGCCAAAAGTTGTACATCGAGATATCAAGTCGAGCAATATTTTAATTGATGTAGATTTCAACGCAAAGGTATCTGATTTTGGCCTTGCTAAACTTCTTGGTGCTGGGAAGAGTCATGTAACAACTCGAGTTATGGGAACATTTGGGTATGGTGCTTATACATTGTTGACTTTGGTTATATGTCCTGTATCCTGACTTCAAATGACTGCTAATAGCTGTGTATTCTTGTTTTATTCTATTGCCAACTGTTAGAAAGATGCTTGACAATTAATCTGGTCTCCATTGTTCTTCATCTTCAGATATGTGGCACCTGAGTACGCAAACACTGGACTTTTGAACGAGAAGAGTGATGTCTATAGCTTTGGGGTCTTGGTCTTGGAGGCAATTACCGGAAGAGATCCTGTGGATTATGGGCGTCCACAGCAGGAGGTGTGTAATACTGTGTTTTTTTTTAATATGCTCTCTGTTGCAGTTGCTGCTTGAACTTCTGTTGGATGAACTTACTAATACGAAGCATTTACTAATACCAGGGTAATTTTTGGTGTTTTCATTATTGCCAGTTTCTGTTTGGGAATTAGGCCAATTCCTAGTTGCCATTAAGAATTATCAGTTACTACGTTACCTATTGATAGGTGGTAAACCCTGGTAATACTGTAGAGCCAAACTTCCTATGATAGTGAAAGTACGGAAACATGCCACCTTATGTCTTTAGTTGAATTATTTCTTGCATTGTAGCTTCACTTATTGATCTAATTGTTTCTAGGTTGGTCGTCTATGAGCTATCAAGTGGCCTTGCATTTTTTTGATATTGGAAGGCACTTGCTAGTGCTACTAGTGAACTGTCATAAAGCAGCCAAAAGCAGAATTTTGTTCTTGTTTCAAATTAACATACTCTCTTATACTAACAATGTTTTTGCAAGTACAATTCAAGGTGTCAGATGATAATTTAGCTGGACTATATGCCGTGATGGTTGCAGGTAAATTTGGTTGATTGGCTTAAAATGATGGTGGGAAGCCGGCGGTCTGAGGAAGTTGTGGACCCAAATATTGAAGCAAAGCCGTCAACAAGGGTACTGAAGCGTGCTCTGCTCACTGCGCTGAGGTGCGTTGATCCAGACTCTGACAAGAGACCCAAGATGGGCCAGGTTGTTCGTATGCTTGAATCAGAGGAGTATCCCATACCTAGAGAGGTTAGTTATGGCCAATTCCACTTTAATGTGGTTCTTAAAGTTACATGCACCCTCAACTTTTTGTGTGTAATTAATTACTTGAAATTATGTTTTCATAAGTGTAAAGACATTGTTGCTCTGTACTGCACAGTTCTCCTTAGGTTTTTATTTGTTCTGGTGCTGTGGTGCATTCTACTAACAGCTTTCCAAATCTTGTCATGTTGCTTCAAAAGTCAAAACCATCGGGGTGTCATCTGATGATATGATTTATTTGGCAGTTTCCAGCATCTATTGAGCTCCTTCCTCCCCAATCCCCTCCCATTAAAACAGAGAAGATAATAGAGAAATAAGAAAGCAACTTGTATAGAAATTCTCATCACTAGTAGAGTTGTAAGCCTGACTCAAGAACAACCCGACCAAACCCAAAGTGACCTAAATCCTGATACACAGGGATACACTGACTCCGCATGGCCCAAATTCGTTATGATCCTACCTCCTTAGGGCTCTCTCATGACAAAAAAAGAGTTGTTATCTTTATTAATGCCTTGCATATGTTTGTGCTGTTTGAGCGAATATATTCCATTTGTTGTTGCTACTTGATTAACATGAATATGCTTCTATACTCTGAAACACCTTTACATTACAAAGGTTTAATTCAACATATGAAGTATTTGCACAGATTGTTAGAAATTATGGAGTATGTTAAACCTGATCTTGCCAAACCTTAATTATTGCACATATCTTTGCCAATGAGTAATTGATAATCCTGAGTTGTTTGTTGTCACCTTAAGTCAACCACAGTTGATTTTGATAAATGTAGGAAGTTCTTTTTGCTACCTCTTGTGATTCCAGTCTGCTCTATCATCTGTATGATTAATTAAGTTGTTGGCTGCAGTAATTACAATTCCTTCTATTTATGTCTGTCACCAGTCTTATTACACTCAACAGCGATATTTAGCTCTTCAATACTATCAGACTATCAGTTTTTTTTAATTACATAGTATGCATGTAGTATCAGCTTTGCTTTAATTGTCATGTTTTTCTCACGCTGCAACTTGGCACAATGGTCACCCTTCCTTCGTCCACTAACACATGCTCATTGGATTTTCTTTTTTTGCCTTGTATTAGCTTCTTGATGTACTTTGTTTAAAATTAACCTTTACTTCTATTGCCTCCTTTGTTGGCTTCTTGTTGAAATTAAGGCCTTTTTCTTGATTGGAATCTGGCACTCCCGTATGGCTCAATCTTGATTTTTATTTATTTATTTAGACTAGTTCATGGAAAAATAAGTTTAAATTAGAGGCATTAAGTTAGTTAAGTTCATACAAGGGCTACCAGGTTCATTTATAGCCATAAATTAGTTTATTTAGGTTTAGGTAAGTTAAGATTAGCTAAGCCGTCCAAAAAAAAAAAATTTATTAGATAAGTGCAGACATGGATATTTCAAGTGAAAGAACAAATATTTATACATGACTTCTGGATTTCATATATGAAATCATTATTAGCTGGGTCACCCTTACCCAATCAGAAAAGGTTGTGGTACTGTTTTTTCTAGAATACCTTTGGAAATTGACAAAATTTTGCCAAATCTTACACTAAAGTTTCAGTTTGACTGAGTTAGTTCTGGGCTGATAAGTTAAATACATTTCAAGGCTAATAATTTAAGTTTAACGAAAGTTCTGTTCAACTCAACTGTTTAAAGTTAATGAGTTAATATATAGCACAAAAGTAAATTTGAATAAGATCAGTTTTAGGGCCACTAAATTGTGTTCAGGACTAGTAAGTTCAAGTTGGTTGAAATAGTTCAGGATTTTATTTGAAAAGAACATGGCTTACTATCGGATGATTTAGCATATGGAGTGTTGGAGTAGAAAGATTACCTTGACTCATGTAACAACATGAAATTTCTTCCTTCTTTTTCCTACCACATGTTATAAGGTACTTTCTACTGCATTCCAGGATTGCCGACACAGAAGGGCTCGGGCAAATAGTGCAGAGATTGAATCCTCCCAGAGGGATTTATCGGACACAGACAAAAGTGATAATCCAGACTCGAAGTCAGATGGAAGAAGGCTCCCACGAGCATCAGGATAAACTTGCACGCTATTCATGTAAGAGGATCATGATGGGCTGATTCCTGTGATTTTGTCACTCAGATGCTTCCGGCCAACAACCGGCACTGCCATATATATATAAAAAAATTTCTTCTGTTTCTTCTTATCTCGAGCGCTGGTGGAGGGGAGTTCTACTGTAGAAGTCTGTCTATTTTTTTGTCTGTATCATTTTTTCCCCTTGGCTTCTTAATTTTTCTTCTTCTTTTTTTTTTTTTTTTAGTATTAGGTAGACATATTAATTTGTGTATGAAAGTGGTACGGTGAGAAGTTATGAACTCTTTTTTTTTGTTATAATTTAGAGAGGGGGGGGGGGGGGGAGGAGGGGTTGTACAGAAGTACAGTCATTCTAAGCAATTCAAATTTGTTTTATGTACTGTGCTTGTGCTTTTTCCATTGAGATTTGAGATATGAATATGATAGTATTAGATACGATTTCATCAATAGTGATAAACTGATGGTGTCAAGCCAAGAAAAGAGTGATCATAATCCAATCTTCCATCTTATTTTATTCGCTTGTATTCTTAATTTTTTATGAATTTCCTCTATGTTCAAGGGATGTTATTTGGCAACTACAGGTTATTAAGAAAGAGGACATGTTTATACTGTGTAAGATACTCTCTATGTTTAGGTTTAAGAGTTTTCATGAGTTAAACTCGTGTAAGCATTGCTAGCAGATCAAAATTTAAACATGTTATTAGTGAAGAAAGAATCACAATTGACAATAATGTAAACAAGATTTTGAGATCAAAGGAGAATGTCTTAGTGTTTTTTTTTTTTTTTTTTTTTTTTTTTTTTTTTTTTTTTATGTCTTAGTTGTCGTTAATATGATACTCTTCGTATTTTGCAAGGGGTGAAAATCAAACCTCGGTCATAGTAAATGTGAAAGAATTTTACTAGTAACTAATAAGTCAACTTTGATTTGAAGTACTATTAATGATTATTAATAAAAAAAACCTTTAAATATGAATATAATTTAACCATTATACGTAGTACAAAAAATCAAGTGGTACTAGCTCTAGTAGGTTGTGGAATCAATCCCATTAAGAGCTTTTTCAGGATGGAGATTCTCTTACCTCCCTAAACTCCTTAAAAGCTATAATCGTTAATTTGGGTCGAGCTAACCTATATGAGGTCCTAACCTAGCCCAACACCACTTCAGAATAGCGCAATCAACACCAGCTCAAATTTCGGTTGAACTTCATTGTGATGTTGAAGACTTAAAAGGTATATGATTTTTAATAATCGGTAATCAACATTCATCAAAAACTAAATTATATACCTATTACCTAATTTAAAGTTTCCATTGATTTCTTAAAAAAAAAAAAATATAATATATACTTTCCATTGATAAACAAATTTCATTTCTAATTCCTGCATTTTTTTTTCTTGAATTACAGGCGGAATATCATTTAGCAGTTTCAACAAGATCGTGGGTCAATCAAATTTCAAATTTTGCAGGCACATTTTTCTTGAATTACAGGCGGAATATCATTAATCGTCGTAGTAGTTGCATTACCGTGTTTGGGAAAATGACACCCTATTGATCACCTGTTGCAACACAATGTTAAATCAGAGAAATTGTAACACTTTCTTTCTCCGAGTAGTATTTAATACTTATTAAGGCAATGTTGTAATGTTGAAAGCTTAATGAAATAATGAGGGAGGGAATCGTTTGGTTTGCAGTTGGCATCATTGCTTACTTCTGAACGCATTTTTTTAAAAAACTTCAACACCCATTGCTATAAAACTCTTGATTATTATGTACGTTAGAATGATAACACCCTTAAATTATAGTACTCTGAGTTGACTCCTATATTATATAATCCTCTCTCTTTGTAATTATTAAATTTGTACCTTTCGTTGTGAATTTTTGCATGTAAATGTCTTGTCAAAACATAAGAAGGCATAATTAATATGTTATTAGCTCGTTAAACAACAAATTGTTTGTTGCTGCTTGTCAATTGTTTAACTGTAAATTCAACGTGCAAAGTGTACTGCCTATTGTTTATATATCAATAATATAGCCTTATTTTCTTACCATATGTCCGAATCCTGAATTTCAATATTATTAAAGGACCTAGCAGGAACGTCAATCTATTCAACTTAAAAAAAATTGAAATTATGTTGCTTGTACAGTTGTACTCGTATCATTTTCATTTTCTATGATTAAGTTGCTTTGAAGTCTGATTGAAATTATACATTCTATGCCTGCTAATATTACGTAATTTATGTAATGATCATGTTGCATGTCACGTTTAGTACAATTCAATCAGTATGCCATATGTAAAATTCAATTTCAATTCCTTGTAAAATTAAATTTTATTTAGATATTGATGCACTTGTCATGTCTTCCCCACTTTTCCTCTAATGTTTTCTAATTCCCTTTCCCTCCTAAAGGGCCCTAACCATCATTTGTGATTTTGCTACTCCTTTTTGCAATTGTAAGTCTACCTCTACTAAAGTTACCTACTTTATGCCACTCCCCCTAATGTCTTCTAATTTCTTTCCCTAAGGGGACCTAACCATCATTTGTGATTTTGCTAAACCTTAATGCAATTGTGAGTCTACCTTTTCTAGCAGTTATCTACTTCTAATCTTCTATGCTAGTATGCAATATTGTGGTTTGGTGTGTTTAATTCTTTCACATCTTATGGTGACTCAGTAACTTTTTAGTTTACGTGTTTAATTCTTCCACATCTTATGGTGAATCAATAACTTTTCAGTTTATGGGTTAAATTTTCCCTTTTGATTTTCTTGATCGATGTTTTTTAGTGAGTACTTCAAGCATCTTTAAGTATAATATACATGGCCCATAGTTCTCGAATTTTAATTAAGCTGTTCCAGAAATTTGAACTACTGTATCACACACATGGTATATTGTTCCATAGACATGAACTAGTGTTCCAATTGGATGATATGCCCATTATTGTCGAATAGTATTTATATTGTTCCAGAAATATGAACTATTGTCCGATAAATATTATATATTGTTTCATATATAAGAATTAGTATTCCAATTACATTAATGCCCATAGTTCTCGAATTTTAATTATGTCGTTCCAGAAATTTGAACTACTGTACCACATACAGATTTGCTCTTTTTTTGCACTACTTCGAAAATTCTACCAAAAAAATATCAAACAAACTCCAAAAATTCTGAAATTTTGTATGCTTATTCTACACAAAAAAAAAAATAATCAGATTCAAAAAAACAATCGCTTCAAAAGCTTTCTTTATGAGAGAGAAATCTTCATTTGAAATCTGTCTCTTTCATTTTTTTAAAAATAAATATTCAAAAAAAAATTAAAAAAATGGAGAGAGTTTTTTTTTTTTTACATTTTCTATCTTTGCAGTAATATTTAAAAATAAATAAATAAATAAATAAATCTAAATTTACGTGTATATACACGTAATCTTCTATATCTTTCAGCAATCAAAATTAGGTTTAATTTTGTGTTTTTCTCTCTAACAATTTCCATAATATTTACTCCCTTCGAGTTTTTTTAAATGTTACATTTTGACTGGCACATAATTTTAGGCAATTTAATTGACTCAAATAAAATAAGAGGTAAGTGAAATAATTGGAGTATTAAAATATTGTAAAAGAAAAATTGTGGGGTTCATAATTTATTGAAAAGTAATAAATATGAGAGAAAATAAATAATAAAAAAAATAGTTATAGACTTATACTGTAGTAGGTTTGGATAAGAGTACCATGAAAGAAGAGAAATATAATATTATAATAGAAATTTGGAGTATATTTTTCTCTTTACTCTATAACCCCTTTACTTCCTAATTCCAGTTTTCCAATTACTTGGTTTGCAAATATGGACCAAAAAAATCGTGAGAGTTGAAATCTAATGGTCATGATATAATTTTTTTTTTTTTTTACAAAATTAACTAAAATTACTTCCTTCGTTTCTTTTTAGTTGACACTTTCTTTAATCACGTGCCAATACACAAATTTTACCATTAATGTCTTTAATTGCTGATAAATAAAATTATGAAAAGTTAATATTTTGAAAAATAAACCGTGACGAATCTAACAACATTCCAACTAGAGTATAATTTTCATTTTTACTAGAGTGTATGTATAGTGTTAAAGTCAAAACGTATTAACTCAAAATACGGAGGCAGTAATTAACAATTCCCTCCTAAAAAAATAAATCCCTCCAAAACGTCTACAGTGGAGTAGTTTATACGGAGTAATCTATCTACCTCATGAACTGAAAGCCTAAAACCAGGTATTCTGCACTTACGATTAAACTATACTATGAATTGATAATGTTGAAGGAGCAATTTATGTTTAAAATATCCTATTTTCGCAATCTTTACATAAGTATCAATTACACATACTCGTATTTTATTAGTAATCGGTAATCTAAATTCCCCATAAATTGAATTAAAAATTGTCATTGATTATCAAATTTCAATTCTAATTTCTGCATTATTTTTCCTGAATTACAGGCGGAATATCATTTAGCATCTCAACAAGTTCGAGGAACAATTAATTTTCAAATTAAGCAGGCACAATTTTTTATTTCTTTACTTTAATTAAGAATTTTATCTCAATTTCTTAGTATTCCTTGATTTTATATGCTGTCTGAATTTATCTGCATATTTTAGGAGTTGGGTAGTCTTTTGCAAGTAAATTATTGCGAAGTATGTAAATGGCAATTTTTCTGTTTAATTTTTGCTTGAAATTTGAAGGATTCTCCTGAATATTCAAAGCAAATGTATTCACCCCAGGAAAAAATTTAGAACTTGATTAGTTTATTGTAGCTTAACTTCCAAACTAATCCTCCAATAATTACAGCCAAGAAGTAATATACTTGTATAGACGGAGTATCTATTTTAATACTCCGTAGCTGAAAATTTGGTCGTCGAGGGTTATACTTAGGGTGCTCGTCTTGTACTCTCTCCGTTGGGATGTAGTTATCGCATTGTCCCAAGCCCTTGTTATTCTTAGGGTGCTTGTCTTGTACTCTCTCCGTCGGGATGTAGTTGTCGCATTGTCCCAACCCCTTGTTATTAAGAGCATGACATGATCTTACCCAAATATGTAGAACTTCGTATTTGTCATTTCTATTCACCCACAGGCCCAAATACTTAATTTTAGTAGTGGCATTATTGACATTCTGAAGTAGTATGTGTGACATAATTTTGGACGAAGGGAGCATCTGTCCGTTGAATAAACTCAAGAAAAAGCTATCCTTTTACTATATTTCTACTTAAAAAGGAGTTAGGCTGAGCACAAGTTAGGTATCAAATTTTAAGTTTTAATTGTTATTATATTTGACGATTTGACTCATAGGGTTTCTCTTTATGCAGCCCTTTTACCTTAAGAATCTGTATGGGAATTGGGAAATGCTGTTGATTACTTTTTGCAACACAGTGTTCAATCTGAGAAATCCTAACACTTTCTTTCACCAAGTATTATTCAATACTTATCAACTTATGGCAATTTTGAAAGTTTATTGAGGACGGCATTTGGTTCTCGGTAGCATCATTGCTTACATAACTAAACACACTTTTTGTTATTTGTTTTGTTAAACTTCAAAAAAATCTATTGCTATAATACTCTCTAAATTATTATATATTGGTTAGATAGATAACACCCTCAAATTTTAATTCTTCTAGTTGATTCCTATCTACTATACTCCACTGTCTTTCTCTCCTTGTATATTTTTATTCTTTATTTTTCATTGTGAATATTTGGATGTTAATGTCTTGCCAATGCATAAGACGACATAATTAATCTGTTATTAGCTCTTAAAACTACAAAATGTTAATTATACTGCTGCATGTCAATTGTTTAAATGTAAATTCAACGTACGATGTACTTTATACTATTTTTAAGCTAATGGAATGACCTTTTTATTTATTATCAGTCCAGGTCTTGAATTCTTTATTAATTAAGTACCTAGCTTGATTGCAATTCATTGGTGTTAGTAAGCTAAAATTAATTATCTTGTGCAGCTGTACTCATATCACATAATATTCATTTTCTGTTATTCATTAGATTGTTCTATGTCAGTCTTAGGTTATGCAAATTAAGTGATGGTCATGTTGCATGTCATTCTTAGTACATGCATCCAACCAGTGTCCCATATGTGAGAGTCAAATTTGTGATTTTTTATTTTTTTATTTTTTTATTTTAAAAATCTGAATTTTGTTAGACACTGGTGTGCTTGTTATGTTATTTTTTTGCATGTGTATAAAATAATATCATAACATTAAATGAATAGATAAATCCCTCTCCTATTTTCCATTGTCTTCTTTGCGTCCTTTCCTTTCTTGTGCTTTACTATGTCTCAATTATTTGGTGATGAAATTGAACCTCAGCATTCTGAACTGGCAGAGCTTGGTAAAAGCTCAAGATTGTCATTCCGAAGTCACAAGTCCAGTTTCAGAAGAAATACGCCTTTGGACTCTTCAAAAGATGTCCTTGATGAGGAGTTTGCTCAGGAATGGGCTAAAATTGAGAGGTTACCAACCTATCAAGGATCGAGGATGTTATTGTTTGATGATGGAAGCACAACTAATGCCAAGGGAAAACGGATGATTGATGCCTCTATGCTTGGACCTCTAGACCGCTGTCAATTCATTGAGAAGCTCATCAAGCAGATTGAACAAGATAACCTTCGGTTGTTGCAGAAACTTAGGAAAAGAATGGAAAAGTAAGTTTTATCACTATTATGCACGATATATTGATATGAGTAGAATATGTGTACTTTCCCATTGCTAGATATTTGCCTTTTTAAAATCTAGTACTTCTATTGTATTGTTATTTTGTTTTTCAGCGGGAAGGGGGAATGTGGTGATGTTAAATTAGCTAAAAAAGCCAAAGAGACTTTGGCCACATATTCGGAATATTTAGATTTTGTGACCGCTTGTCTCACTAGATTCCCCTTTACTTACCTTTATGAGTACAACATGTGTGCTTCTCTTCATATTTAAGGTTACCTTTATTTTCATTGTTGGATCTTGGAGGATGGAGGGTGGGTGGGATGTTATTCCATTATGGATTTATGGATGTCCTAAGAATGTTTGCAAGATTTCATATAATATATTACTTTCTCACATCTACATCAACATTTACTTTTAAATTTCCACTTCTCTGTAATGTAAATAATGCTAATTAGAGCATATCCTAATCTGAATGGGATTCAGATTAGTGTATATACTTTAGCAACAATGGAGTAATACTGAATCAATGGCTGAATTTTTTTCTAGATATTTAGTAATATTATATATGACAATGTAATCTATATATACTTGGTTTAATAAAATGGCTAAATTAAAATTGATTAGGGTAATATTGGAAAATTAAAATAGTTACTTCCATAAGATTTATTTAATTAAACCTAATTACTGGGATAAATTAGAAATTTATAGATAGTATGTGGTCTGGGCATATGCTAATTTAGCAAGACTGGGCTTCTTAGTGACAGTTAGATTCAGCTCCTTTTAGTTCTCACTTTTTTTTGTAAAATATTATGATAAATATGGAACTTTGGCTAGCTGCAGGTAATATTTTTGGTGGAACCATGGAATTACGATTACCATTGAGAAATAAGATAAAGCCATTTCGGATTAATACAAATATGTCTTGTGGAGGTGTTCTGTTGTGGCATAAAGCTGAATTTTCCTTTTAATGACCTACAAAAGTAGTGTGCAAGTGCTTCATGATCTTTCTGTCTACTTGAAGTCAAAAGGGGTTGCAGCATATAAAATGTTTAGTAGTTTGTATATTTGCAAAGGTGTAGTGACCCCTATGGCCCTATGTACTCATTTGTCACAGAATATAGGATTCACTGTATTTTATAGTTGTAGAATTTACATCTCATAAGCACGGAATTTAATAGTCAGTGAAGTCATATTGTTTGCCTACTGTTTAAATTATTTAATCTAGCAGCTTACTTAGTTACCTTCATGTATTACACTGATTATGATGCACCCAAAACTAAGTGGATGTATCAGATTGTAGCCGCTAGAATGAATTGAATGCAATACTTTATCACTTTTTGAATTATGGTCTTCTCTAAACTTTTGCAATTCTTCTCCTGTGTAGAGTTGGGTTACAATTTCCTGCTGTCAAGGTGAAGTATAAAAACCTTTTTGTGGACGCAAGGTGTAAGGTTGTGGATGGCAAGCCCCTTCCTACTCTGTGGAACACTTTTAAAAGCAGTCTCTCTGTAAGTACATGAAGAATTTGGAGAATTGCATATGTAATCGTAGCTCTTAGTTGTAACTTGCATTATGTATTTATGTCGTTCAGTCATTGTTTGGTGTCTGGATTATGACTTCATTTACCAATATTTTACGAATGCATGAAGCTCAATAGACGCTAATATTATTGGACATTATTATTTTCCAAGCTAAAAAAAATGTCGAATTTACCAAAAGGAAGACTTTAGTCAGTGGCTCTGAGTTATCTACTTGTACGGTCCTGTTGTACAGGTCTTTTCCAAGTTATTGGGGTCTCAGCTGCAAGAAGCAAAGCTTAGCATTATTAAGGATGTCAGTGGTATCATCAAACCTGGGAGGTCAGTAAATAATTTGTCTACAAATTGAGTGTTTTAACTTTGTGCTAAAAAGAGTCAGACAGAACAACCGTTTCATGTATAGAAGCTTGTATGTGGTCTTCCCTCATTTGGTGCTAAGAATAGCATGAAAGAAAGAGCAAACTACTTTTATGTGAAGAAGGTTGCGTGGCTCTTCCCTTATCTGGATCGAATATTTTTTTGGTCAAGTGTTGATCAATGTCATGCTGCTGCTACATAATACGATCTTTCAATATATATCATTTGTCAGGGTGCTTTCAGTATTATGTTCTCTCCTTGATAAAGTTTTGTGCTGATTAATTCGTATCAAAAGCCAGTATGACTTACTGGTTCAAAGATGATCACATGCAGATAAGTTAGTACAATATTCATTTTCGTTCTTGTGGGTGGCCTTTCCAACCATTATCACAATTCACATTAATGTAACACCCTAATTCTGCTGGAAGCATGACAATATCTGGCTATGGTGTTTGTAGATATTTTCTAATATTCTCAGACTGAAGTGTTTGAGACAACATTACACTACCATACTCCTTTACTGCTAGTCTTCTTCTAATTTATGATAGAATACTGATGTTATCTGTCATAATTTATGGGTTTGCTTTTTCCTTTTCTTCTTTAGATGTGCTTAAAATGGCATATCACTAATCCTATGTGGCCAAGTTATGTGGAAGCAAATTAAAGAGACATGAATGGGGAGTGGGGAAGACACAAAGTGTAAATTCCTTAATTCAAGCTTTCACCTCATATATGGGGTCTGCTACTCTGCTGTATAGCCCTATAAAGAACTTGCTTAGACTTAAATTTTATTGTAACTTGTAACTTTCGAATTTGTGAATTTTTAGCTTTCAAGAATTCCTAGTTTTTTAATAGCTTCAGTTCTCTATAAGGAGTAGCACGGTAATACATCTATTATTCTGCAGATTGAAGTTTGGAGAGCTTCAACTAATTGACTGTGTTGAAATCTATGATATCTATCTCTATGTTCAGAGTAACTATGAGGCTACTAGCTTTGAGATTCTGTGGGATTAAAATGCTGTCAATTCTCAGCTCTCCTGATAATTACATAACATCTATAAGTCTGTACATCTTATTATCATATGTATACTAATTTATTTGAGTAATTTCTATTTTTTCTTGGGGGATTAAGGTGGGTGAGTTGGAAGGGTTGCTAGTGTACAATAGGTGAACACTAAAATAGCTGTATTAGAATTCTTAATATCAACTCACAGATCTCTAGATTATCAAGATGTATTACGGTTATCTTTCCAAAAGTCTTCTGGACAAGTGCCTTCATGTAGTTGCTGGTGTTTTTGCAGGATGACTCTACTACTTGGTCCACCTGGTTGTGGGAAGAGCTCCCTTTTGTTGGCACTTTCAGGAAACCTTGACAGCTCTTTGGAGGTTATAATTAAATATTATGACCTTGCTTTTTCTCTTATACACTTACATGATATTGTCTAGTGCAGTTAAAATATACTCCGTACTTTTTACTTCTGTATTTCCTTATTTCTTGCTTTTTGGTTCTGGAGATGGGAGGTTTTACTCGAGGCTTTACTGGACTTAAGCTGTTAAACCTCATCGTTATCAAATGCATGATTCTATTTTGAAAGATGGGGCTAGGAGTTTTCATTTTCGAATGGAACCAGTGTTTTGCAACTCTTACACATATTGTTTCTTCTTCTTCTTCTTTTTTTTTTTTTTTTTTTTTTTTTTTTTTGGCAGCTTAAAGGAGATATAGAATACAATGGGCACAAATTTGAGGATTTTATTCCTCAAAAAACTTCTGCTTATATAAGCCAGCATGACCTGCACATTCCTGACATGACTGTGAGAGAGGCTATTGATTTTTCAGCTCGTTGTCAAGGTGTGGGTAGCCGTGCAGGTATGTTTTATTCTGTTCCTTATTAATGGTTTTTTTTTTTTAATGACCATTCATTACGTCCAAGTAATAATGGAAGTGTGTTGCCTCTTTAGACTTGTTAATTGAGGTCTGTAAACGGGAGAAGCAGGAAGGAATCATTCCAGATGCTGACATAGATGCGTACATGAAGGTATTCCAGCTATGACTTTGTCTTTGCAGTTCTATGTATGCTGTATTGCCAATCTGATCCCTTGCTTCCTTCAATTAGGTATGATCTACTTTTTCGATTGCACTAGTTGTATCTAAGTTTGAATTTGACAACTCTCACTATGCTTTCGACTCAGGCAAAATAGCATTGCAATTGCATCATATTATAAGTTGAAAGGTTTGTCTGTGGTTAAAGATAAGTAAGTGATTATCCTGTTAAAGCTCCCTGTGATATGTGAGCTATGAAAATTACCTCAGTTTGGCATCTTGCTTTGCACTTTAAATTTAAATACTTCCTCCTTTTGTTTAGATGCATCACTTTCTATGTATGGAAGTTTCAATTTAGATGCTTTACTTTCCTTTTTAGTTAATAAATTCTCTCTATCTCTCTCATATCACATGGGTGCTCTTTTTTATTTCCCTCTATCTCTCTCATCTCCAAAAATTGCCTAGGAGTCTGTGATTTTATAAGCAACAACAACAAAGCCTTAGTCCCAAAATGATTTGGGGTCAGCTAACATGAATCGTCATAAGGAATTGTACGATATAAAGAAAAGGACATTACAAAATATTATTTAAAAGAGTTTGAAAAAAAAGTGAGTAAAGTGAGTAAATGAAAGAGCATTTAAGAAAAATTAAGGGAGTTTTAAAATTAAGGGAGTCTGTGATTTTATAAGTAATGCATCTTAAAAAAATGAAGGAAGTACCAATTTAATATAAATCAATCCAGCAAAGGAAATGCTCTTGATTCTAGTCTTTCTTGTGATTATTTTTTAAGATTTGATTCTGGTTGCACAGATTTTAGTGGTGAATAACCCTGTCATTATGGTCATTGAAGAAAAAATAACTCCCACAACCTCAACAAGTTAATGAGTTCCTCGTCCGCTGATCCTGAGTGTATATTCTAAATAGAAACTCCTCAAGAAATTGTCTGTATCTTCTTATTCCTGGAATCTCTCCTCCTTCACGAGGATTATATGAGAGTATATGAGGCATTTGCTTATTTTTGTCTATTTTCATTCAATTACCTAATAGTGGAACTGACAGTGCTCTTCATCCCTTCCTGCTAAATCTCTAAACTAAGTGTTTAAACTTTGAATAAATCAATAAAGTAAATCATACATGTGATGTAGTATGAAAAGAGTAGCATAATATTTTTTTGGTAATGTTAATCTCTGATTTTACTATAGTAATGTTTTTATTAATTTTTATTTTCTGAAGTACCATACTACTTAGTACACGTGTGTATTGACTCTTTGTTTACACAGGCAATAGCTGTCGAAGGATTAAAGAGTTCCCTGCAGACAGACTATATACTAAAAGTAAGTTTTTTGGAAAACCTGCTTCAAATTTGATTTTTTTAGTTTGCTGCTAATCATGCACTCGACTACTTGCCATCTGTTCTCTGGCAGATTCTTGGACTTGATACATGTGCTGACACTATGGTAGGAGATGTTATGAGGAGAGGTATCTCAGGTGGTCAAAAGAAAAGATTGACTACAGGTGCTTCATTGAATTGTGCATAAAATAACTATTCTGTAACTTAAATTAGAACATACCCCATCAGTCTGAACTCTGAAGATTTGTTGTTATAATGGAATTTTATAGGTGAGATGATTGTTGGGCCAACCAAGGCATTGTTTATGGATGAGATAACAAATGGCTTGGACAGTTCTACTGCATTTCAGATTGTCTCGTGTATTCAACAGTTGGTTCACATAACAGATGCATCTGCATTGATTGCCCTTCTTCAGCCAGCACCAGAAACCTTTGATCTTTTTGATGATGTAATTTTAATGGCAGAAGGAAAGATTGTGTATCATGGACCTCGTGATTGTGTCCTGGAATTTTTTGAGACCTGTGGTTTTAGGTGTCCCAAGAGAAAGGGAATAGCTGACTTTCTTCAGGAGGTAACAATTTTCAAGTCTGGTATGTGGTGATGTAGACTTATTATTATGAAGTGATTGCAGAGGTGCAATTTCCTCCACTTTATACCCTTTTTTCTACAGGTAATTTCGCAAAAAGACCAACCACAGTACTGGTTTCGTGAAGAACCTTATGGCTATATCTCTGTAGATATGTTTTGTGAGAAATATAGGGTATCTCAGGTTGGAAGGACTTTATATGAGGAGATTTTGCAGCCACCTGTGAAGACGCAGGTTGATGATTGCGCCATCTCCTTTTTCAAGTTTTCTCTGCCAAGAGGAGAACTTTTCAAAGCTTGTATGTCAAGGGAATTCCTGCTTATGAGGAGAAACTCTTTCGTATATATATTCAAAATTATTCAGGTACTGTACAGTGTGCTGCTCCATTTCTTTGCTCTCTGGATTTTTGTTTTGACCGATAAGTTCAATTGTTGCTTTTTATTCATGCATTTTCCGTGGCACGCCTGTATATGCTTGTTGTGTGTATATGTGTGCATGCGTGTATTGTTTAAACATATATATAACCTTTTCTGGCTTAGTTATATAAATAGCAGCTATAAAACTACGAGGTTACTGATTCAAACTTCAAATATCTCCTGTACTCCTTCCCTTAAATGTAGTGTGTATATATATATGTAAGAGCTAAATGTAATTGCAGCCTAATTATTATTTTTTTCCTGATATTTCCACTTGCAGTTGGTCATTATAGCTCTGATAACAATGACTGTATTCATACGTACACGGATGCAAGTTGACATTCTTCATGCAAATTATTATCTGGGTGCTCTCTTCTATGGTCTTATCATGCTTCTTGTTGATGGATTTCCAGAACTGTCAATGACTGTCATGAGACTTCCTGTTTTCTTTAAACAGAGAGACTTATATTTCTACCCTGCTTGGGCTTATGCAATTCCTGCCACTATCCTGAAGATCCCTTTGTCCATTTTGCTAGCTGTTATCTGGACCTCACTTACTTACTATACCATTGGATATGCTCCAGAAGTTGGAAGGTAAGTTTTGAGGAGTTTTGTGCTGTGTACCAAAAGTAGTCAATATATACCCCAAGAAAGGATGCTTCATCACAATGATACCATATATACATCTACCCTAATCCATTGAGGTGAAGTAAATTTGTATGCTATCGTCTTATAAAATCGCCTTTCACCCTTGTGAATGAGAAACCTCTTTCTCCCTCTGTACATATGTGGTTGTGCATATAGTTCCTGGTGAATTGGTGATATAATTTGATTCTTAAAATTGACTTGTCAGACTGAAGTTTTTTTTTATGTAGCTCAGCTTACCTTATGCAAAATTGCATACATCTATACCTTCTTCAACACTTCTAATGCTGGGTTCTTCCTTGGTTTTTACTGTCATTGTTTGGTTGCTGTGTCTGATTCTAACACTCATCGATCTTAGTACTTTTTAAAAAAAAAACAAAAAAAAAAACTGTGGTTAACTGGTTGGAGTAAATTTTTGAGAAGTTTCTGTGTATGTCAGGTTCTTTTGCCAAGCTCTTCTATTCTCGGGTGTGCACTTGGCATCAATATCCATGTTCAGGCTCTTGGCTTCTCTGTTTCGTACCACAGTTGCTTCCACTTTTGCATCCGTTATCTTCATACTGTTTGTTTTCATATTCAGTGGATTCATATTCCCACGACGTAAGAATACTTGTGAAGTTTTACCTAGCAGAATTTCTGACATCTGATATATTACTTACCTGTGTGTTAACTTGCAGCTTCGATGCCAGTATGGTTAAGATGGGGATTTTGGGTTGTTCCACTTACTTATGGAGAGATTGGTCTCGCAACTAATGAATTCCTTGCTCCAAGGTGGCAAAAGGTAAGCTGTTGAAGGCATGACAATAACGATGCAAGTTTATGAGTGAAGATTTGACCTGCTAGATTGAACAATAGGATTGTATGATTGATCTTTTGATTTGGTGATTTATCTCAAGGATATATCAAGAACCTGCTACAAGATTATCTTGTTGGCCATTCTTGTTTGTGTATCTATGTGTTGGGACTGATTATTGACAACTACAACAGCTAGCTGGCTATCAGCTATTCAGCTCATGCCTTCTTGGATAATGATATTCTAGCTTGGAGTGTCATACTGTAATCCTCTCTAAGTTGAACGAGATCATTTGATGGGCATCTGCTTTCAATGCCTAAATATTTAGGCTATGGGCCTCTGACACTTCAAAGTGTTGCTGGTGTTTAAGTACTTGATGTATGCTGTCCTCAGCCGTTGCTGATTCTTATTCTTATCTGTAGATGCTTGCTTCAAACACAACGATAGGTCGTGAAGTTCTTCAATCCCGTGGACTAATGTTTGATGGTTACTTTGTCTGGGTTTCGGTTGGCGCTTTGTTTGGGTTTTGCGTACTTTCCACTCTGGGGTTTACTCTAGCATTAACTTTCTTAAAGGGTGAGACTCTTTTGACTTTTCCTGAAAAAAAAAGTCATAGTAGCATTACTGATTTACAATTTTCTTGATTATATTTGTAGCTCCGGGAGCATCTATGGCTTTCATCTCAAGAGAAAAGCTTTCTCAATTACAAGGATCAGAAGATCCATGTCAAGTAGACAACGAGCTAAAGAGTTGTGGGAAGAAAAGTTGTGTAGAATCTAATAAAGGTTCAAAACATCCATCTGAATTTCCAGTTAATTAGCATTGCTAGTGTGGACATTTTTTTTCTTATAACATTTTGTCGTCCAGCATTCTAAAACGTCTGGTAATCATGGCAGGTTATATGATCTTGCCATTCCAACCCTTTACTGTAACATTTCACAATGTGCAATATTACATTGATACCCCAATGGTAATCTCAAAACTAAAATTTTTAAGCTTGAGGTCCCCTTCTGCAGTAAGTGTTTCATAAGGACTCAGGAAAGTGAATGTGTTATAATAAATTTTCTTCTCTTAGGAAATGAGAGAACAAGGCTTTACTGAGAAGCTCCAACTTCTGCATGACATCACTGGTTCTTTTAAGCCAGGTGTCCTTACCGCGTTGATGGGTGTCAGTGGAGCTGGAAAGACGACTCTTCTTGATGTTCTTGCTGGAAGGAAAACTAGTGGAACCATTGAAGGGGAAATTTGTATTGGAGGGTATCCTAAGGTGCAGGAAACATTTGCACGAGTATCAGGCTATTGTGAACAAACAGATATACATTCTCCAAATATTACCGTTGAGGAATCACTGATCTTTTCTGCCTGGCTTCGGCTTCCTGATAATGTTGATTCAAAAACCAAAACAGTATGACAGTTATTCACATGGAAAGAGTTGCAAGTCTAGTTCCAACTTATTATGAAGATTATGTTGCAAAATTATCTTAATTTCTTTTCAGGAATTCGTTAACGAAGTCCTACAAACTATTGAGCTCAATGAAGTTAAAGATGCCTTGGTTGGCTTACCTGGTATTAATGGTCTATCAACTGAGCAACGAAAGCGGCTCACTATTGCTGTGGAGCTTGTGGCCAACCCATCAATTATATTTATGGATGAGCCTACAACAGGTCTGGATGCAAGAGCAGCTGCCATTGTAATTCGAGCAGTAAAGAACGTTGTTGCTACTGGTAGAACTGTTGTTTGCACCATCCATCAACCAAGTATTGACATATTTGAAGCATTTGACGAGGTAGGATACGTAGGATACTTGTCTCATTGATAAAAAAATAACTACGGATTATATCCTTAGAAGCAGTTGCTTGCACCCTGATGATGTATTACCACTAACTTAACTTTATTGAGTACCAAAAAAAAAACTAACTTAACTTTATTGCAATTCATCTACTAATAAACTTCACCATTTAAGAGTGTATGGAGTTATACAAGATACAATAAATATCTTATTGTTCCAGTAATTCCTCTTTATCTATGTAAAGACCTATCTACTGATGATGACTTTACAATTTTACATGATGTGATGCATCATTGATTAATTGTTATCCTGAAGTAACTGAGATATTTGTTTCTCACTTCATCCTCTACCTCTACTGTTTAATATGGAATTGTCAGGTGGGAGGTTGAATTTTAATGGTGTGTATGTATTGTTTTACACTTTTACTACAGTTGATGCTTTTAAAAACTGGTGGGCACATAATCTATTCTGGACCCCTGGGTCAGCAATCAAGCAAAGTTATTGAATATTTTCAGGTTGGTCTTTCTAAAATATCCTTATTTTGTGCTACATCTTTTGTTTCGTAGTTGAGTTAGATTTTCACTGCCTCATAGATTTTTCTCGAGTCTTACCATCGTAATTTTTTTTTCTTTTATAATTGAATAGACAATACCTTCCATGCCCAAGATTAAAGATAACTATAATCCTGCAACATGGATGTTAGAGGTCACTTCTGCATCTTCTGAAATTGAACTGGGAATCAATTTTGCCGAAGTTTACAATAGCTCTGCTCTATGCCAGTAAGTGTGTTGCCGTCTAATGACTGTGGTACTTCTTTCCTTATTTATTAAATTTTTATTTTATCGGTTCTTTATGTATCTTCCTGCATTATGTTGACTCCAGGGACAATGAAGAGATTGTACAGAAGCTAAGTGTCCCTTCTGTGGACTCTAAGGATCTCCATTTCCATAGTCGCTTTTCACTATCTGGTTGGGAACAATATAAATGTTGTCTTTGGAAACAACAACTATCTTACTGGAGAAGCCCTTCATACAATTTGATGCGCCTCTTGTTTTCCTTTGTTTCATCTCTAATATTTGGATTGTTGTTCTGGCAACAAGGGAGGAGCATGTAAGTTGGGGCAGTTTCTTTAGGAATCTAAACTAAATCCATTCTTTCAAATTACCAGCTGTTCTACAACTAGTGTCAGTATGGAAATATAATATCCTGAAAAGATGCACCTATTGTAGACCTAATTATTGGGTGGGTTGGGGTGAGGTCAATATGGGTCAATAAAATGTCACCTTGTCATTAGTCAGGATACACAAAGTGGGTTGTAGACTTGCATGTCGATAATGGGTGTGTTAATAAACGAGCAAGAAAAATTAAAAAGGTGAGAGACAAAAATGAGCACAAGTGAAAACAAAGCTATACATGTAATTTATTTATTTTTTGACTAATTTAATTTACAAATCTATTGGGCTACCATTTTGGCCCTATATTGACCACCTTTTTAACCTGACCCTAACCCTATACCCATTGGGTTACCCTATTATTAGCTAGGCCTACCTAAATGTCTGGTTTTCATATATCCAAATATATGCATGCCATACGGCAGAGAAAATTTAGAATTATTGCAAGGTTTTCATGCTTTAATATATGTACTGGTATATACTTTTTGTTTATTTTGTTATATTATTTGCTTTTATTGTTTACTCAACTCGTGTTTTACGAATTTTTCTTATTTTTGCTACAGTTTTCTCAAAACTTTATGTTTTTCACTCACGTGTTTTCCTCTCTTTTTTTTTATCCCCTTACCACTCTTGTAAAACTCTCGTAAATATATTAGTATACTCTTTCTGTTTCTCATTTTATACACCTTTTTTTTCCAACTTTATTCAATCAATTATCTTGTTATGCTCTTTTTCCTTTTTGGACGGTTCCTTATGTTGATCATGTTAGCCGACCACAAATCATATTGGGACTAAGCCTTTGTTGTTGTTATGCTTGTTGCATAGCAAGGTTTTCATAATTGTACAAAAAAATTCTATTTTGCCTTCATTTATGTGATTTCCTGAATTATGAAGTATTTTCAGTGAGAAATATTTGGTTACAATTGTTTTAAAAGTTGCTGTTCAGTAATATGTGATGTGTGCTTGCTAACTGCTACATTTTGGCTTCCATGTCAAATTATATTTTAGATGGGATTTTGGTCCTGATGTTCTTTAAAATGTTGCTTACATATTTACATTGGCAATATGCTCATTGAAATGGCAGAAAAGATGAACAAAGTATGTTCACGATATTTGGTTCGATGTTTGCCTTTGTAACATTCTTGGGGATAAACAACTGTTCAACTGTCCTTCCTTTCATCTCAACAGAAAGAAGTGTTGTTTATCGGGAAAGATTTGCTGGGATGTACTCCTCGTGGGCTTATTCTTTTGCACAGGTATAATTCTTTTATTCATTCCTGGTTTCATTTGCGACATTCTTGCAGTCACTAGAATTTGTTTAGTTACGGAGTATCTTTAAAAACAATTTTAGCTCACAAATAGCAATCAAAAACCATTTTTCTTTTTCTTTTTTTTTTTGGTTTCATCTTAAAGAGCATCTTTTTATTTTTTTATGAATGCAAACAAGTATTCAGGTCAAACTTTGTAGTTCTCCTTATATCTTCACAAATTTCCTTTGAACACCTTTTTTACTTTTTTTCTTTTGGGGGGAGGGGGGGTTTGCTTCCAATATTGGACAGAACATGAAATTCTTGATTTTTTACTCAATTATTTTGCACTTCTTTGTTGGCTAGTTTAACTTATCTAGCTGCTGATTTTACAGGTCACTGTTGAGCTTCCTTATCTTCTTACAATAGCTCTAATATTCACAGTTATTTCATATCCAATGATTGGGTATTACTTAACGGCCTACAAGTTGATCTGGTACTTCTATGCCATGTCCTGTACTTTGGTGTATTTCAATTACTTGGGCATGATGCTCGCATCATTGACACCAAACTACCAGGTGGCTTCAATCATAGCATCAGCTAACTATGCGCTGATGAATTTGTTTTCTGGATTTCTGATCCCTAAACCGGTGAGTTATTTATTTCAAATATGCCCTTGACATCAAAAAAAATCTTGGAAATGTCTTCCTTTTTCATTAAAGAAAAATATACCTTTCCCACAGATGACTATGCTAAACAAATCTAGGAAAAACTTTGTTGCATATTAAGCATATACTAAATGATTTAAGCATTATTAAGTTGATCTTGTTATGCCTTCTGTTAGAAATGTTAGTCACCGGTACTATTTTGGGGTATTAAGAAAGGATAGCCACCTTCTTAAAGTAGTGGAATATAGTTCCTAAAAATATCCCCAGTGACGAAGTGAAGAGTATGGCTTAACAATTATAAAGGTATATAAAGTGTAAACTATCATGTAAATAGTGAAACAGTAAACTGTCTGGTCAGAGCTTCTTGGTTATATTAGACTTCGGAGAAAGGGGGTCTTTATCTTTTCATTCTGGCTAGAATTCAAATTACTGGACTAAAACAGGAAATGTTTATCGAGTTTAACTGTCTGGTCAGAGCTTCTTGGTTATATTAGAGTAGCAGATAGTTTGCTGACTGATCAAAGGTCAATTAAGATTAACATGGCAAGGCTGTTCATATTAGGCTTCCCTCATTCTCTCATGTGCTGGTGCCTCTGTTCAGACATGTTACATCCTGTGGCTATGGTTGACCAGCCTTATTTTCCATTCAATTTTAATAACCTTATATCAAAGGGCAACTGTAACTGAAGAGGTTTCAGTACACTCAGATCATTTAGATGGGTTGCTTATGGTTAGTATTCTGTGTAGAGGCAGAAAATAGGCTGTTTGGATCGTGTTCGGCTCAGATCATAATTGGGTAATGAGTCATTCAGTTCACGTTCATTTTTTTTAGGAAGCTCCACAAGGGGGATTCCTAATATATAGCTCACGCTCAGGTTGGTTCAGCCTTTTTGAGTCTATTGTTAATTACTCCGTAGCTTTTAATGATAAATTAGTCTATATTATTCACACTGATTTCAGGTCAGTAAATTTTGTTGTGTGAGATTTTTGTTATGTAATCTCGCAAGTTTGGATCAGATAATCAAGCACTAGTTTTTTTTTTTTTTTTTTTTTTTTTGTTGGCAATCAAGCACTAGTTAGTATTGCTAGATCTTTTACACATACATACCTCTTATTAGTTTGAAAACTGAGATTGCAGTGGTATTCCTTGCAGCAAATTCCCATGTGGTGGCAGTGGTTATTTTATCTATGTCCAACTTCTTGGACTCTACACGGTCTGCTGTCTTCCCAGTACGGTGATATACATGAAGAAATTACAGTATTTGGCAAAAGCACTACAGCCTCTTCGTTCATAAAAGACTACTTTGGGTTTGATCATAATCATCTTGGCCTCGTTGCTGCTATGTTACTTATCTTCCCTCTGACTTTTGCGTCTCTATTTGCATTTTTTATCGGAAAACTTAACTTTCAGAGGAGATGACTAGCTGCATAGTGCGAATATGATGGGTTCATCATTTTGTTAAGGTAGGATTTCATTAGTTTGGCTAGCTAATTAATATGAGCTTGATTGGTTAATACTTGTGTTTTTCTTTTTGTCTTTTACAGGAGTTTGTTTTCAAATTGTCAGCAGTAAACGCTTGGTAGATGCATTTATATATATGTTGAGCTTTACTGGATTCATGAAAATTTAGTTGCTTCTTTTGTATGTTTTTACACAGGAAGCAACCAATTTTTCAAGTACTGGAGCCAATGTACAATGTATCAACTAGTCAACCTGTTGCTGTTTAGAATATTTATAATTAAAGAAGCATATATGGAGAATTTACAAACAATGTAACAAGTCGAAATGAATTTCCAAGTTTGAACATACTCCATAATTGTTTTTCCGGATAATATAGTTATGGTTTTGGCTTATTTTTTTTTCTAGTATGTCATTAATTATATGAATTGATATAAATTTAGTAGAAGGCATAAACTATTTAAGTATTATCAATGGTAGCTTTGAAAAAACTATGTCATGCTTTTAATTATGAAGGTAGCTTTGACACAATGTGATAATAAATTTTAATAAATTTTTTTAAAAAAAGTTTTAATTTTATTTGAAAAGGCAAAGAAAGCTGCATCACTAAAATAAAGTGACCTTGAATAAGATTATAACAAAACTTAATTAAATAATTCATGCTACGGAGTACCTTATTTTTTTATTTTTTATTTTTTTTAAGTTTGCTTAAGACTTAACATATATACGGAGTACTTTTTTTTTTTTTTTTAAGTTTGCTCAAGACTTAACATATTTGCTTATTATATGATCTTTTTATTTTGACTTATAATAATTTAATTTATATTGACAATGATCTCCTCGGTCTGCACATCATATTGGACTATATATTCATGTGCTCTCTTCCTTGCTTGTACAGGGATATACACGAAAAAGACAACTTTGAATTATCATCGTTTTCCTTAATATTTTTTTATTAGGATTGACAAGTCATGTTAAGATATACGTCAGATTATTTTAAATAAGTAAAATTCAGGTGATAAAATATTTTTATATTCTAAGAATCACTCTTAGCATCTCATTTTGCATATTTTAGTGGCAAATGGACTTTTCAAGGGAGATGATTAAAGCCTGCAACACACAATAATTGGATAGGTTCATTTTTGTGGTAGGTAGATTCAACCAATTTGTTGTTTGGTCATTTACGACTACTAAGCAACTTTTGATAACTTTACTTGTATTTTGTTTACAATTAAGTGTTTGACTCATATTGCTTTCCTTTGACTGGTGCAACTTTTGTTCTACTAATTGTCAAAAGACAAAATTTTGGTCAGCACTTGCTAAGTTGTTACGATTGAGTGATTACCCTTCTTTACTCTCCTTTAATCTACATGAAAAGTGGGCACTTCAGAATAATTAATGTATTAGAGCACGTTTATTTTGAGGTATAAACATTGAGTAAATCGATAATTATTAATCATTCTACTATACAATCAATGCTGTTAACAATTTGTTCACTATTTAACGTCTAGTAAATTGATTCTAAAATAACAAAAGTAAAGATTGATGTGATGTCAAAGATGAGTGAAAGAATACAGAGTGATACAGAATAAAATTTTAGGTCCAAGTAGAAAATGTTGGTTAGTTAGCTTAAATTATTCTTTTTTGTTAAATTTAATATTTACTTCCTATTAACGGTGGAATTCAAGTCTACGGGTAGTTAAAAAGGCATTGTTAGGAGAGCTGGGTTAGAGAGTGATAAAGAAAGAAATACGAAGTATAATGTTAGAGAGTCAAATGGATAAGTTCTTTGAAAGAAATACTGTTAAAAGGATATGAAGGCAAGATAGATGAAATTTATTAGACATTTTGTCACAGTGTCAAAAGCGCATGTCAAAAACTCAAATGGCTAATAACCAATACAAAAAATTAATCTAATACAGGTACCAGGCAATAGGCAATATTAATTAATTAATTACCTATGGTTTGCTCATTTAACTAGTACTATCCCACAGAAATAGATAAAGGACAAAGATACAAGTTTACAAATTTAATAATAAATGGACACTGAATACAATATCTTAAAAAATTGAGACAAAAATAAATATCAAAGATGGAGTAAATAAAATTAAAACAATAAAAAAGAAATAAACAAAATTATAACCTTGAATATATTCCACTCAAAAGAGAGAGCTTGGAAGTGGGAGTGTTGCTTGTTGGCCTGCAGCAGTAGCTACTGAGTGGTGTTGAAGACTCGTGAGACTCAGACATCTCACATTTCACAATTTTACCATGTCTTTTTCGTACATACCAATTTCCATGTTTATGTTTCCATCATGAAAGCAAGTTAATGGACCCATATGGTGGCCATACCTGCCTTCTGCTTCATTTTCATTATGTGGTCTACACCACCTAAACACCTCCCAACTATAACCTGCCTTCTGTTCTGTGTCGAAACTCGACACTAGAACGAACGGACATAATGTGAAGACTTGGTAAAAACAATACAAGAACAAAAGAAATTCGCCTGTATGTATGCATCAAGAAGACGGTGAAATTATTTTTGTAACGCAAATATTTCATAACTACTATCAACGAGCACACATTACATTTTTTCGGTTGCTGCTCGGCAGCTGATCCCTTTCTAGCACTGTAAAAAAACATACATATGCAGCTCTTTTACAAACATAATGCTGCCATTTTACTACTAACAAAACCTCCCAACAACCACATTTCTGTTTCTCCAACAATCAACTTACCCGCAAACAAAGAAATAGAAAAAGAAAGGGAAACTAAAAAGACATTAATATTGTGGCCCATACAAAAGCATTTTATATATTCCTTTTGGTTAGAGAGCAGCTGCAGCCTGTGGAGGAGATCCGGGCACTTGCTTTATTGATCAAAAATATTAATCAATGAATTCATAGACTTCACTCGACTTCTCCGGTTTAAGCTTGGGGCTTCTCCCACTTGAGGGGCTTGACAGTCTCCCATGTGAAGTCTGCGTCGTCCCTACCGAAGTGTCCGTAGGCGGCGGTCTTCAAGTACCTGCTGCCACCCTTTAGAAGGTCAAGGTTGATGGCAATCATACCGGGCCTGAAGTCGAAGGTCTCCTTGACAATCTTGAGGATCTCTTTGTCTGGGATCTTTCCGGTTCCGTAGGTGTCAACGAACACAGACAAGGGCTCGGGGACACCAATGGCGTAAGAGATCTGGACAATGCAGCGGCGAGCAAGGCCAGCAGCAACAATGCTCTTGGCTGCCTGCCTGGCGATGTAAGCACCACTCCTGTCAACCTTGGTTGGGTCCTTTCCAGAGAAAGCACCACCACCGTGGGCACCCCATCCTCCGTAGGTGTCGATGATGATCTTACGGCCGGTAAGACCAGCATCACCATGAGGTCCACCAATGACGAAACGGCCAGATGGGTTAAGGTGGAAGATGGTCTTCTCGTCAAGGTACTTCTCTGGGATAACAGGCTTGATCACATGCTCCTTCAAGTCAGCGGCAATCTCATCGTTGGTAACAGTCTCATCGTGCTGAGTAGAGATAAGGACGGTGTGGACACGGATTGGAACCATGGCACCGTTCTCGTTGTAGTACTCAACAGTGACTTGGGTCTTGCCATCAGGCCTCAACCATGGGCAGATACCATTCTTACGGACCTCAGTGAGGCGGGCACCAAGCTTGGTGGCAAGGACGTGACTGAGGGGCATCAACTCAGGGGTCTCATCGGTGGCATACCCAAACATGTGACCTTGGTCACCAGCACCAATCTCCTCGGGGCGTTTGGTAAGGTGACCGTGGACACCCTGGGCGATATCAGGGCTCTGCTGCTCAATGTATACCAAGACCTTGCAGTTGTCAGCATCAAGACCCACATCGGCAGACACAAACCCAATGTTGCGGCATGTCTGTCGGACAATCTTCTCGTAGTCTACATTAGCCTTGGTGGTGATCTCACCAAAGACCATGACCAAGTTGGTCTTTGTGCAGGTCTCACAAGCAACCTTGCTCTCGGGGTCTTGCTCAAGGCAAGCATCAAGCACTGCATCAGAGATCTGATCACATAGCTTGTCTGGGTGTCCCTCGTTCACGGATTCGGAGGTGAATAGGAAGGTGTCGACTGCGGCGGCCATTTTTAAAACTGTAACATAACAAGAATAATTCACATCAGCACACACAACTTGCAGCATACTTCACAAGAAATATCTAAGGATAAGAGGCATAAATAAAGCTTCAAATCAACATTCCTTAAAATAAAGTTTTATTCCCTCACTATCACTCCTAGAATCTCAACAATCAAATGGTATAAAGAATCAAAACAAATGCCGCAATATATTGTTCTCCAGATCTACAACTCACTCCCAACAAACTGCAATCGAAGATCGAATATTTTATTCCATTCCTATAAAATTCTCATTCTTCCTTTCCATTCAATATTTGTTAAATTAAATCAATTCACCAGATCTAACAAGCTCAAAAGGTTTTCATCATACCAACAGACAATAAATCAACATTTACAACAGCATACTGTCAAATTAATCAACAAAAATCGACAAATGAAAACCCTAATTTCCCAATTTAACCATTTTCAATCAAAAATTACTCCATTAACATTCAGATCCTTTCAAAATCAAATCATAACACCAACTAATCCTCGTAGAATAGAATTAAATCCTCCAAAATCACGAAAAAAAAGGGTAAAAATCAAACAAATATGCTGGATTAACATTTCATACAATAATCATTTCAATTAATTCTTTTCAAACTCCAGATCTTTAGGTAGTAACGGTAAATAACCAAGATCTAACAGAAAAAAAGAACGAATCAATCATTTTTCAGCATTTCAACATCACATCTTAGATCTAGGAATTTTCAATAAATTTATCATTAATTCATCAATTAAATCTCAAAAAAGTCAAAAGATGATAACAACGACATAGAAATGAAGCTCAAAAATCCAGCAAAAGGTAGATTGTTACCTGGAGAACGAAGAAATCCCCGAGTAGCAAAAGCTGGAAATGAGGAGAGAGAAAGTAGAGGGAGGAGAGAGAAAGTCCGAGTCTTGTTATATGATTTGCAGACCGGTGTAAGGCGAGTTGGAAGGGAAGACTAAAGGGGGTATTTATAGAGAAATTAGGAGAGAGAAAATGAGTAAAATCTACCAAGCTGTTTGGAATGGGTAATCTCAACCGTTCAATTTTTGGGGTGGATTGGATGGTCGGGATTTAGCGGGGTCGGTGAGAGAAATTTTGTGGGGTCAACTGAAATGACGGTTTTACCCCTTGGTTTAGAGTGTATGGTTGGTTTACCAACTTTTTGTATGGCTAAGGTTGGTGGCTTGACGGCTTGGCGCCGTCGATTTTGTGTGAACGGTGTCGTTTTGAGGATTGGATTATAATATAATAATAATTGAATCTG